TAAATAGTAGAAAAGCCACAGAGCAGTAAGCACTTATACCTTTGCCAAGTGTATATACCACATAATATACAAAATCGTGTGTTTTGTTTGATAATGGTGTGTCTGGTTTTACCCACACATGAGGAAGACTTATAAAGAAAGCCACAAGTACAGACTGAAGTATAAGCATTGGATGCTTCTTGTAGAAATTCTTTTGAACATAAATGTAGAAATGGTTATTGATGTTAACAATTTTCAGACAGAAGTGTACACTGAGCCAGGTGTACAGCCAAATGTTGCAGAGTACTGATGCCGGATAAAAAAATGAAAATATGGTGTCAGAATCCTCAGATAGAGCATAAGAGTCTTGATCTAGTACGGTAGAAAAATACAGGATATTAAGTAGTATACTTGAAAGAGTGGCTAAACTGATGCCAAATATAAACTGGTTAGTAACATGAAGTCTTTTATTCTTTATCCAGTCCATGAGGTTTGCAATAAGAATGAACATGCTCCCAGGCAGTGAAGTTATAAACAAAACCAGATCAAGGTGAAGCAAGATAATTTCTGTGAATTGGAGCATCTTGTTTTGCTAGATATCTTTGAAACCTGTATAAATGCTTGATTTGATCTGCCACTGATGAAATCCAGAATAATTATGTCTTCTTCCAGCATTCTCATATTATATATAGTAAAAGACTGCTTATCCATTACTCAAGCACAGAATAACATTTGTCTGGCTGTAATTTGATTTGATTTGAGTACCATGCAAATAGAATCTTTGTGCAATCCGATAAGTGTGCAATATGATAATTTCAAATATGTTGTTTATTCACAATACAAATCAGATGAAGAGGAAAAATAAATATAGTATCTATAGTTAGCGTTAAGTCATACCATACAAAAACACTCAATGTGCAAAAGCTGTACTGTCACTATGAGATTTTGTCTCCTAAAACAACCTTGGTGAACTCACTTTATTTACTTTGTTTCTACAAAATGTGGCGAGTCAAGAAACAAAATAATTAGATACAGGGAGCTCACAAGACATTTCGAATTGTATATACACTGATCATCCACAATATTAAATCCACCGGGCTAATATCTTGTGCACGGATCCACTAGACATCTGAACATGCCCTGTGGTATCTGGCATCAAGACATTAGCAGCAAGTCCTGTAAGTTGTGAGGATCAGATTTCTTGTTTTAGTACATCCTACAGGTACTCAATCAGATTGGGATCTGGGGAATTTGGAGACTAAGGCAACACTATAAATTCTTTGTTATGTTCCTCAAAACCATTCCTGAACATTTTTTGCAGTTCTGGCAGGGTGCATTACTTTGCTAAAAGAGCCACACCGCCTTCAGGTAACACCAATGCCATGAAGAGGTGTATAAGGTCTGCATCATTTTCTAGGTAGGTGGTATGTGTCAAAGTAACATCCACATGAATGCCAGGACCCAAGGTTTCCAGGAGAACATAGCCCAGGGCATAACACTGACTCCACCGGTCTTCCTTCTTACCATAATGCATCCTGCTTCCATCTATCCACAAAATAAAAGACGCACTCAGTCATCAACCAAACCTAAAAGAAAACGTGATTCATCAAGCCAGGCAACCTTCTTCCATTGTTCCATGGTTCAGTTCTGATGCTCATGCCCCCAAGTCACAATCACCCCAATATGAAAACAATGAGACAAATTCAAGCTTATGGAATACAGATGTATTACCAGGCCTTAGATTGTCAGACTTGGTAACAATTCTCTATACCTTACATTATTACACTAAGAAGTCAAGGTCAGGATAAACAAGAATAACAGAGCCAACGGTCAAGGATATCAGAATAAATGGTGAAACAAAACCAAGTCAATCATCAATATATCAAGACATATATGAACACTCTCATGGGCTACCAAAAACCATGACAGGGCAATAAAGAGAGGTAACAAGAGCTTAATATAGGCTTACTGTGGCATCTGGTGAAAAACGTAAATTTAGAGGTTTGCAGGCACTTCTGTTATGGGCAATTATTATAGATTGTTACTGGTGTATGTGTTATACAAAAAGGTGCCTCTCCTATCACCTCCAAATAATCATATAACAAAACAAACAACACATATACACCCCAACCTGAAAACACAGCATTTTATATAGGATTAAAGATTGGATGGAAACTTTCAGTACAATTAGCAGCAACAATAATTGGAGTCTAAAATGTAAAACAAACATACATAGTGTACTCCATAAAACACAATTTAAGTAAAATGGAAAGAGTATATTTCAAAATTGAACTTTTTGGCCATCAAAAAAAAAACATTATGTCTGGCACAAACCAAACACATCACATCACCCAAAGAACACCATCCCCACAGTGAAACATGGTGGTGGCAGCATCGTGCTGTGGGGATGTTTTTCAGCAGCCGGGACTGGGTAGCTATTGAGGAAAATATGGATGGTGCTAAATACAAGGATATTCTTGAGCAAAACCTGTACCACTCTGTGCGTGATTTGAGGCTAGGACAGAGGTTCACCTTCCAGCAGGACAATAACCCCAAACACAAAGCTAAAGCAACATTTGAGTGGTTTAAGGGGAAACATGTAAATGTGTTGGAATGGCCTAGTCAAAGCCCAGACCTCAATCCAATAGAAAATCTGTGGTCAGATTTAAAGATCGCTGTTCACAAGTGCAAACCATCCAACCTGAAGGAGCTTGAGCAGTTTTGCAAGGAGGAATGGGCAAAAATCCCAGTGGTAAGATGTGGCAAGCTCATAGAGACTTATCCAAAGCGACTTGGAGCTGTGGTTTCCGCAAAAGGTGGCTCTACAAACTATTGGCTTTAGAGGGGTGAATAGTTATACACATTGACTTTTTCTGTTATTTTGTCCTATTTGTTGTTTGCTTCACAATAAAACAAAAAAAAACATCTTCAACGTTGTGGGCATGTTCTGTAAATTAAATGATGCAAATCCTCAAACAATCCATTTTAATTCCCGGTTGTAAGGCAACAAAACACGAAAAATGCCAAGGGGGTGAATACATTTGCAAGGCACTGTAGATTAATCCAAATACATTTGCTTTACCTTTTTAACACAACAAATACCAATGTTAAAGAGTGGCATTGGCTAGCGGTATCTTGGTATGGAAAGGTGAACATGCTGAAATCATATATACTCTACTAAGTGGATATATATGTTCAGAATGTTACCACTGGCAATTCCTTCACCCTGGTTGACAAGGATTGAAACTGCATTCTCAAACTCCTTATTGGAGAGGAGAAAAATCAAGGATTTTAAATTCTTTGTTATCCATATGTATTAACAAAAAAAAAAAAAAAGTTGGTTTAGGATTCACAGATGAGAAAGATGTGTACCTTTAGGTGAAAAATTTCCAGCCAAAAGGATACACAGAAAAATGGGTTATTGGGGTAATAGAAAGGGCCTCACCCTTATGTTAACCAGTATACAGAAAAAGAAGAGGAGACAATATCCCTGAAACACAGGAGACAAATCCCCTCAATCCTAGTACCCCTTCTGGAGCAATGTATTTGCCCACTACCGTGTATTACAAAAAATAATAAAGTTTTATTAAAGATCAAAAAAATCTCATATGTGAATTCATAATACACCAAACTAGTATTGGCAAAAAATGAGGAAACAGAAAAGAGCAACCTAAAAGGTATGTATCCAATTCGTGTAACTTGATACCACTTTTCAAAATTACAAGAAGTAGTAAAAAGAAAACTACTTCAAATTAGCAACAGTATCCAAAGGGTTACACATAGGAGTCTAATAAGAACAGAAAGTGCATTCCAGTTCCCTCAAATTTAGTCTATATTATGCCAATAAATTGACTCCTCACTGTTTAAATTACTATAGATATAAAAATATATAAATACATGGTCCTAGTATTGTGCTACAAGTATAAATATGTATATCCTAGTCATAATCAAATCAAAAAGTTGGTAAATCGAAAGGATAGTAAGATATCAGTGAAGAGAGAATAATAAAGTGAGGAGGAAATGAAGAGAGTTTAATAGGTCAAAAGAGACCCTGGACTATAATTCACGAAGTATAAAGAACGTGCAAAAAGCTGTGAGTGTCCATATCTACTCTCCCCCCCCTACACACACAAAAAGAAAAGAAACCCAACGCGCGTTTCGGCGGTAGCGTCCGCCTTTATCGAGGGTAATAAAGTACCCAACAACTAACAATAAAAGGTAGTGGATTCCATGAACAAAGTAGCAGGGAGGGAAAGTACCGTCTTTACAGTCTCAATAGCCTTTTACCCTCGATAAAGGCGGACGCTACCGCCGAAACGCGCGTTGGGTTTCTTTTCTTTTTGTGTGTGTGGGGGGAGGAGAGTAGATATGGACACTCACAGCTTTTTGCACGTTCTTTATACTTCGTGAATTATAGTCCAGGGTCTCTTTTGACCTATTAAACTCTCTTCATTTCCTCCTCACTTTATTATTCTCTCTTCACTGATATCTTACTATCCTTTCGATTTACCAACTTTTTGATTTGATTATGACTAGGATATACATATTTATACTTGTAGCACAATACTAGGACCATGTATTTATATATTTTTATATCTATAGTTATTTAAACAGTGAGGAGTCAATTTATTGGCATAATATAGACTAAATTTGAGGGAACTGGAATGCACTTTCTGTTCTTATTAGACTCCTATGTGTAACCCTTTGGATACTGTTGCTAATTTGAAGTAGTTTTCTTTTTACTACTTCTTTATTGTAATTTTGAAAAGTGGTATCAAGTTACACGAATTGGATACATACCTTTTAGGTTGCTCTTTTCTGTTTCCTCATTTTTTGCCAATACTAGTTTGGTGTATTATGAATTCACATATGAGATTTTTTTGATCTTTAATAAAACTTTATTATTTTTTGTAATACACGGTAGTGGGCAAATACATTGCTCCAGAAGGGGTACTAGGATTGAGGGGATTTGTCTCCTGTGTTTCAGGGATATTGTCTCCTCTTCTTTTTCTGTATACTAGGATTCACAGATATAGATAAATACGACGAAGCAGGAATTTCAATGCATATTTTGATAATGCAAATCAAAAAAAAAAAATCAGAGGTTGTGGAGGGGGGTTGGGGGTGTCCTGCAACTCCATGTGAATGGTTGCACAACTTGAGAGCTTGTTACACCAAAATCGTATATATGGGTAACAAAAAGAAATCCCTGGCACCACAAGACTGCCTAGAACCTGGATCAAGCAAAAGACCCGGAGAACTGGACCGCTATTTTTGGGACAAAGTGATAGCTCTCACGTCCAGCATAGATGGCAGCATGGCGGCACCGTCCAACGCCTCTGATTCTCCTCCACGGAGCCCTGCGCTCTACAAGCAATCTACAACCTCAAAGGACATGGAGATTCAAGAGATTTTACAGACTCTTCTAGGTCAGACCTAGCCTCCATGCTGGCCCGACTGGAGGCCTCTATGCAGGATTAGATCTCCACTCTAGCAACAGATGTCTGACATACTAGACAAAGAGTGGGGGAGCTGGAGGAGGAAAATCTAACTATCACAGCCATAAAGGCTATTGAGACTGTAAAGACGGTACTTTCCCTCCCTGCTACTTTGTTCATGGAATCCACTACCTTTTATTGTTAGTTGTTGGGTACTTTAATTCGTCAAAATCCCTTGTTCGGTAAAATAGATATTTTACCGAATGAGGACCACCCTGGGTAGCAATTAGAACGTAGAATCCTGTGTTATTGCACGAAACCACAAGCTAATTGAGTGCTCCTGGGTGGCTGCCATTTCAGGACACAAACACGTGGCGATAACAATGGATGGCGGCCATCTCAAACTCACATCGGCCTGCCAGCGGGACTTATGCGTCGAGCGCCTGGAACTAATTTTGGCATGGCTCTCCAGCAATCCCCGGTCCCCCATGGAAGTCCCGTCTGACTCATTTCCATGAATTGTACAAGAATGGCGTTCAGGAGTTTCAATCTACCGAACGAGGGGGGCACTCTCATGTAACCAGCTACATTACATCTATGGGGGTTTTCATGCAATTTTCATCCAATCGGAGACTGGCTCGCACCACTGATTTCATGGAACTCCGAGTCGGCTACAACCTCGTGACGAGCTGGTCAAACTTCCACACGGTATAACTCCAAAACTACCAAATGTTTTCTCACGAAATTTGGATATGTTGCTCACATCACCCTCAGCTATTGATATGTTTTATATTGATAAGTTATGTATAAAGTATGTTTCTAATAATAAAAAATTAACTTTTCTGGCCACTAGATAATTGAGTTTAATGAGTGCTCAAACCCAATTATCTAGCCTTGCCCAGTGGAGGAGTTATGTACTGTATAAATTGTGTGCCCTGTTTCTCAGTAAATCAGATTTGTTCCAGCATTAAGCCTTGGCTCATGTGTGGATTATTCGGCGATACCAGCGATTTATTACTCTGAAGGGAATGCGTGACGGAGTAAAGGATTGTACAGTCACAGAGACAAGATAGGCCAACCTAAAAAACAGATTTATTCATATGGCCAGAAATCAGGAAGACCTCGAAAACAGAAGCAGGCTCAATAATGTGCACATTAGAGGCCTACCCGAACCACAGGAAGCTACGGAGGATTTACTGGACACACTACAACGATTATTCAACAAAATCATGAATGACCCCTGGAATCTCTGGAGTTACTGGACAGAGCACACAGAGCATTAAGGTTGAAAGGGCTACTACAAGACTCACTGAGAGACATAATCTGTCAGATCCATTATTACGGGATGAAGGAAGAAATACTGCATCTTTCTAAAGACTCTCCTGCACTACAGAAGGACAACATCAATATCTAGATCTTTCCAAACTTGGCTTAGACGACGCTGCAGGGTCAAAGGGCTCTACGTCTGATCATCTTGTCCCTTCAAGAACGTAACATCAAATACCGATGTATTTCCATTGTCTTTGCTCCAGGATGGCGCAACACACTCCATCAGAACAGCGGCGGATGCCCCGAAAATTCTGTGGAGCCTCAATATGCCCAAGGTGGATATTCAGGACTGGTACACAGAGGTTTCCATGCCTACGGCTAAGGTGCTACCTCGGTGGACCAGGTGGAAACCTGCAGTAGGGAGGAAAAGGCCCACTCTCAAGCAAGCATCGCAGCAACCCAGTACGATGGCTAGACAGGATACATCCATATCCTGAATGTTTCAATCAGGTCATATGTGGCTTTTGTTGCCCATCTGGCCATCACCGGTAGGAGGGCAGACGCTTAGGTAATTGCCCCAACTGCTGGACTTTAACACCCTCCATTTCGATCCTACCATGATTATCTCACCCATAGACACTTCCTATGTCCTTCTCATCTATATATATATATATATATATACACTTTAGTTGTGGCTCCCAGTTTTCCCACCCTTCCCCCTCATTTTATTTATTTATCAGATTCTATGGCTATTGGAATTTTTCTCCCCTCAGTGGCACCATGGTTTGGTAGCCCCTCTTCGCTAAGGACCAGTTTGGGAGGCCATTTATTCCACTGCCAGCAGTGGTTAACCGACAAAGGCACCTAATCTCCTTGACTGCTTACACAAGTTCTTCTACTTCCCGGTCAGCATTGAGATCCTCAGGATTGGCAGACCTTGGATTTAGATCCTACAGATGACTATATATAACTTTAACCCCTCTCCCCCTCCCTATTCCCCCCCCCCCATGATTGTGACCACAAAAGTTTACACTCGGTGGAAACTGTGTATTAATGTCAATATGTTGTACGCTATAAAATTAGCATGTGAATAGGTAGACTATAGGGGCTGGTATCCCGACAGTAGGGACTGATCACTCACGTGAGTGAAGAGTAAAGCCACGTTCTTGACGGGGCCTACTGAATGGAGGCATACCATACGCGTGTTCCGTCCAGCCAATAATGGCTACAGTTAGTTAACTATCACTTTTGATTCTGGAGATCGGATGTCGGGAGCGACGATGATCCTTTACAATTTTAGATACATCCTCTGTTTACACAGAGGTTTATTACTTCTATATTTGTTTAAAGCTCACAAACGGATACACTTTATTTTCCATTTATTGACCAGCAATCTATGCACTTTTATATATAACACCACCCCACAACTGTACTTAGTACGAGCAGTGTGACAGATTTCTCAAGTTTGACTATTTTTATACACCTTTTGTGGAAATAACTCCCACCCCAGACCTGACGGCTGGGTGTAACCCGGGACTGACACAGTCTCCTGTTTGGGTTGCTATTTAGACCCTCCTGCATTACTGCTTGCAGCGATCTTTTAAACGGTTTGTTTTACTTTATTTATAGCACACTTTTCCCATACTTTTCATTTTTTGAAAGTGACTATTGTACGGGACCCAGACTCCATAGTGTGAAAACTTAATAACTCTGTACAATTATGATGCAAACGTTTAATATAATTTCTTACAATGTTAATGGTCTTAACTCCCCTGAAAAGAGACAAATGGCGATATGTGATTTCCTTAAATTTAAAGCAAACGTGATTTTCGTTCAGGAAACACACTTTTGGGGGAGGGGGATCCTAAGTTGTCCCATAAAAGATTCCCACATTGCTACTATAACAACTTCCACTTGACTAAATCACGAGGAGTGGCCATAATGGTAGGCTCAAGAGTCCCATTCACATACTAACACCAGGTTTTGGACACTTAAGGGAGGTAGATTATTCTTAAGGGGCTGGTGGGAACATCCCCAGTCACCTTGGTAAATACCGGCAACAAAATACCAGTGGAAACTTTAGAGGGAGAAGGAACAACCTAAGAGTCCGTGGACTTGCAGAACCGGACCAGGAATCTCAAGAAGACCTGGTCTGCTTACTTACCATACTATTACTTCAATCAAATTCTGAACAGACCCCTGACAGTGAAATACTGTTTGACTGCGTGCCCAGGGCCATGACACTGAAAAACCTTCCTCCTGACAAGCCAGGAGACATAATCTGCAGGCTGCAGTACTATACACTCACAGGAGATACTGAAAAAAGTCTAGATCCCACACTGACATCTCCTTCAGGGGTCAATCTGTCCTGATCTTCCCAGATATCTCCCAGGCCACTCTGCAGGCCAGACGAGCATTAAAACCAGTCATGGCGGTGTCAGGTTTCGATGAAACTCTTCGCATTCACTACCATCCACCAAGGGAAGTCTTACACCATATCCTCACCAATGGAAGTACCAGCATTAACCTACCTGACGAGGCATTGGAAGACTTGACAGGCCTTACCTACATCTTCCCCCAAGCTCTCCCACAATGATCGAGGTGGCATAAATGACCAAAAAAGAAACAAAGTCTGAACCCACCTCCTTAGGACAGAGACACTTGAAACCAGGAAATTTTCCCCACTATCCTTTTCTCAATTTTAATGTGCTACTTGTGAAGAAGCCCTTTGACCCGGTCTTTATTTACTGCGCTACACTCGCAACCACATATTTAGGCCATCTATTTTATTTGGCACTTCCCTAAACCCCATTGTTCCTCTTTGGAGGCTCTTTGTTCCAAACTGAATCATAAAAATAAAAAATAAAATGTGTATCTTAACCCTGTTAACTTGCTCCCTAACCCATATAATGCACTTACGCAAGCATTACGCCTCCCATCATCAGTTCAAACACCCCAGTGCCGATGAACACCTCTTGGTCTCTTGGTGTTATTATTCTGAACTGTTCTCAGATTATCTACTTTATGTGATTAATACTCATGTATATGTATGTTTGATGTGACTAAGCCATGCTCAGTCCAACCACACAGCCTTACTAGCCACAGCATTCCGCCAGAGGGGTGCTCCCTCTCTTAACTCGCAGGTTTCTGACAACCATCAAGTTATGCACCACCTCCTTACCTACACTTTAGGTTATTTGTACATAGTTTTGTTTGTTTCTCTTTATTGTATTTTATTTCCTTCTTTTCCTTTACCTTGGGACACACCTGCATAACAGGGTCTCTGACACAAACGTCTCCACTGACCCATCTACTATACAATGATCAGCTTAGACAACACCGGGGGAGCCCAATTGAAATTAATGTCCCTCAGTAGGGGCGAGATTACACCTTCTACTCTAACCCCACCACTATTCAAGACTGGACATAATTTTCCTACCTCACAGACACTTGCCACTCCTACTTGACATGACAATTGGTAATATCACATGGTAGGACCACGCCCCTGTGTACCTTACATTGACACCAATTCGATGTGGCATCTGAATGAGATGTTACTAGACAACTCCAAGGTGGTCACCGACATCACTACCTTCTTTGAACTGTATTTCAAATAATACTCCCCATCAGGTACCTCCCAACAATGGATTTGGGAAGCTCACAAGGGGATCGTTCGGAGAATATTGATAAAATATGGATCCCACATTAAGAAAGAG